TACACCACCTTCACGATTGTCGTCCAAATGGTTTGATTGTTTTTTTCTTTTGAGTTTCATCTCTATCTTTGGGGGGTTGGGAAGGCTCGAAGTCAAGTCCAGCTCTTCAGGTGCTGGAATGACATGACTGTCGGTATCAAGATGAATAATAGGGGCGGCGTGGGCAGCTATGGGATCTTGGGTAGCGTAAGTGGGTTTCTCGGATAGGATGGCTCCGAAATTTGAGTTGAGCTGAGGTCTTTCACCGTCTTGAGCAGCCATGGGCTCTTGAGCTAAGTGATTGACTTTCTTGATTTGAGCGTCTTGTTTGGCTTGAGCAAATCTCGCAGCTTTCTTGGCTCGTTTGACCTTACGTTTGTACAATTTGTACAATTTTGAGGCTTCTCTAGCAGAGATCTCGTATATTTCAGCAAGTTTACGATATTTTTCTTCGTCTTCAGTAGCATATTTATATAATTGCCCATAGTAGTCGGCAAAATTGCGATACTTCTCTCCATCAAATGTGGCATCTTCGATAGCTTGGTCGACTTTTTTTTGTAGATCAGCTTCAAGGGCTTTAATTTTCTTAGGATTCTGATTGTTGTCGAGTTGCTTGATTTCGTCGACTACGGCGCGGAAAACGATTTCTTCGATGCTAATGGGTATGACTTTTCAGCGGCTTTTTCCATGTCCAATTTGTATTTAGCAGCTTCATTTGAAAGCTTGACAGCTCTTTCTGCATGGTGTTCAGCGCGTTTGGAACGCAACTTGCTGAGTTTTTCGCTTTTTTTTTCACTTTCGAAGCTTCAGCTTTCATGCGGTTAAAAGCCTTGAGTTTTTTTCTGCTCTGACAAGATTTATGTTGACTGGCTCGCGTTTTGCAATAGTGTCTTCGAGATTGTTCCGGAGAATTTGGCTCTCTTGTCTACTTGGGGTGGCGGAAGTGCCAACGTGTTCTCCAACCGGAACCATCTCTCTCAAATCCTCTTCAAGTTTTTTCTCGGCTTTCCTTAAACGCAAAACTAAATTAGGAACAATGTTTTTTGCTTCCTCGAGCTCGGATACTTTAGCAAGCCGGACGCGCTCGAGTACTAAAGCAAGCCGGACGCGCTCGGGTAATTCAGCAAACCGAACGCGCCCGAGTACTTCAGCAAGCCGGACGCGCTCGGGTACTTCAGCAAGCCGGACGC